GAGCCCAATGCGGGGTTTGATCCCAGGACCCAGGATCATGACCTGAGCTGAAGGCAGACGCTTAACGACTGAGCCACCCAGGTGCCCTTATTGTGTTTTTGATAATAGCCATCCTAACAGGTGATATTTCATTGTGGTCTTCATTTGCATTTCCCTGATGATTAGTGATTTTGAGCACCTTTTTATATATCTGTTGGTCATTTGTATGTCTTTTTAAGAGAAATGTCCATTCAAGAACTTAGCCCATTTTTTAATCAGGTTATTTGTTTTTTTTTTTTTTTTTGCTATTAAGTTGTAGAAGTCTCTTACATATTTTGGATATTAACCCCTTATTGGGTGTATGGTTTGCAAATATTTTTCCCATTCTGTAGGTTGTCTTTTCATTCTGTTAATGATTTTCTTTGCTGTGAAGAAGGTTTTTAGTTTGATGAAGTCCCACTTGTCTGTTTTTGTTTTTACGTCTGTACCTTTGGTGTTATATCCAAGAGATCATTGCCAAGACCACTGTCGAAAGGCTTTTTCCCTATTTTATCTTTTAGGAGTTTTATATTTTTGGTCTTATGTTTAAGTCTTTAACCCATTTTAAGTTAATTTTGTGTGTGTGGTGTGAGATAAGGTTCTGATTTCACTCCTTTGCAAGTGGATATACAATTTTCCCAGCATCATCTGTGAAGAGACTATCCTTTCCCCATTGTGTGTTCTTGGAAGCCTTGTTGGAGATTAATTTCTGGGCTCAAATTCTGTTCTATTGGTCTATGTCTGTCTTGATGCCAGTACTATCTTGTTTTAATCATTGTAGTTTTGTTTATTAGTTCTAGCAGGATTTTTGTTTTTGTTTTTTTGGAGTCTGAAAGGTTTTCTATATGTAAGATCATGTCATTTGCAAACAGATAATTTTACTTCTTACTTTCCAGTTTGGATGCTTTTTATTTCTTTTTGTTGCCTAATTGCTCTGGCTAGGACTTCCAGTACAATGTTGAATGTAAGTGGCAAGAGTGGACATCCTTGCCTTGTTCCTGGTCTTAAAGGAAAAGTTTTCAGTTTTTCGCCATTAAGTATGATGTCAGCTATGGGCTTGTCATATATAACCTTCATTATGTTAAGATAAATACCTTCTGTACCTAGTTTGTTGAGAGTTTTAACCATGAAAGTGTGTTGAATTTAGTCAAATGCTTTTCTGCATCTATTGAGATGATTACATGACTTTTATCCTTCATTTTGTTAATGTGATGTATCACATTAATTGATTTGCATATTTTGAACCACACTCCACTCTTTATAGTTATATTTTTCCTGATTAAACAGCCAATCCAAATTTATAAATTGCATTGAATTGTGAGGTCTCCTTAGTTTGCCCTATTCTTTCACAGTCTTCCAGCATCCAAGGGTCCAATTTAAGATCGGTCAGTATTTTTATTTTTATTTTTTTATTGTTATGTTAATCCCCATACATTACATCATTAGTTTTAGATGTAGTGTTCCGTGATTCATTGTTTGTGCATAACACCCAGTGCTCC